TGGAGGGCTCCACCCACGAAGGGTCCACGAAGAAGCAACCTTGTCTATCCCACCATGGCCATCGCCCACGAAGGACTTGCCTCACTAGGGTAGATCTTCATGAAGTAGGCGACCTCCTTGCCCATACAAACTCCTTGGTTCAACTCCACAATCTTGACGGAGGCTCCAAAGTGACACCTAACCAATCTAGGAGACACCACTCTCCAAAAGGTAATAGATGGTGTGTTCATGATGAACTCCTTGCTCTTGTGCTTCAAAAGATAGTCTCCCCAACACTCAACTCTCTCTCACAGATTTGGATTTGGTGGAAAGATGATTTGAGTGGAAAGCAACTTGGGGAAGGCTGGAGATCAAGATTCTTGTGGTTGGACTGGAATATCTTGGTCTCAACACATGAGTAGGTGGTTCTCTCTCAGAAAATGAATGCTGGAAGTGTAGGCACATTCTGATGGCTTTCTCCACGAATGAAGAATGGTGGAGGGGTATATATAGCCTCCACATAAAATCTAACCTCTACACACAATTTACCAAACTCGGTGGGACCGAATAGTGAAACTCGGTCAGACCGATTTAGTTCAAAATGTGAACGTTAGGATTTTCGGTGGGACCGACATGTCAACTCGGTAGGACCGATGTCATTAGGGTTGGGGCATAACCTAATCTTGGTGAGACCGATCACATCAACTTAGTGAGACCAACTTCTGTAATAGGCAAACAGAGAGTTGGTCAGGAAAACTCGGTGGGACCGATTTGCTCATTTCGGTGAGACCGAAATGTTATGAAAAGGAAACACAGAGTTTGCATTGCAAACTCGGTGGGACCGATCGCTCACTTCGGTTAGACCGAAACATTACAAAGGGAAACAGAGAGTTTGCAATGCCATCTCGGTGAGACCGAGATCCCTATCGGTGAGACCGAAGTGATTAGGGTTTATGGCTATGGCTATGTCAAATGAACTCGGTGGCGCCGGATAGATCAAATCGGTGGGGCCAAGTTTGACTTTTGGTTTGGGAGATATGAGGATATGAGAAAGTGGTTGAGAGCTTTTGGAGCATACCACTAAGCATTTTGAGCAAGCAAGCTATTAAGTAACACCTCATCCCTTTTTAATAGTATTGGCTTTCCTATGGACTCAATGTGATCTTGAATCACTAAAATGAAAAATGTAGAGTCTTGAGGTTGAGCCAATATGTGTCCTTAGCATTTTGAGGGGTCCACATCTCTAGTCCATGCCATGCCAATCATGAACTTTCTGAAATGATCATCTTGAAAGAGTATTAGTTCAATGAGCTATATGTTGTTAAGAATTACCAAAACCACTCAGGGATAGTTGCACTTTCAACTACTGCTCCCTTGAGCAGTACTACCGCACGCCACAGACCAGTAGCACTAGGGAGCCCTCATCTTCGCAACGACAAGGGGAACAATCAGTGCTCCAATGAAGCAAGGAAAGGTGGTGCAAAGGAATAGATGTGTACGTGTTGATTCCACCCTAACCTTTCCGAAGCGGACCCCCTCTTAATAGTATGGCTTTCCTACGACTCAAATCCACCGAAAAGAAACGTAGAGAAACACCGTCTTCGATAGGCTCCGAGGGGCACCGAATCGTCTTGTGCCTAGACATGAGATATCTGAAATGCTCAGTGCACACGATTAGTCCGCAAATGCATTGTCATCAATCATCAAAACCACTTAGGGAGAAAAATGCCCTTACAAGAATCATCCTAAAATTGTCATCCCATATTTACTAAACTTGTCGATGCATTATTATCAAAGTTTCTGATGGTAATTTTGCTATCAATACATGATAGCGTGACAAAATATTATGTGGTAACTTTGAAGGGAAAAGAATTAATCAAAACATACCAACGTACGATCCAGTTTTGAAAATCTGAATGAAATAAAGCCAATAATAGAGACAAATCGTAAATCTGAGTGATAGATTTAGAAAAAAAATCATTTCCAAGTTTTAGGAAATACATTTAAAGAACCGATGTTATTGTGATATTGCTAAATATTGTATTTATGTCCAAAAGTATATGTGTTACAGTCGTACTTCGTTAATAAAATTACATAGTTTACAGAAAAAGACATCTTACTTGTGATATCACACGGTTTACACAAATCAGACGCCACCGAAAATCGGGCGTGCCTATGTTTTGCTTTTTTTAGGGGTGCCTATGTTTTGCTTGACACTAGAAAGTAGAATGTCTCGCTTCAGGCAGTCGCCTGATTGGGCCGGTCCAACGCGGACACAAGCCTTCAACACTTTTTTCATCTAATATTTTTTCACATTTTGCATTCTTTTTGTTTTAATTTTCACCTTTGCTTGTATTTTTAAATATTATGAATATATCTATTATAGAAAATTATATAAAATAATTACAAATATATTATTCATGCATTTAAAAAATGTTAAATGTGTATAGAAAAATGCTTCTAATGTATACAAAAAATGTGCAATGTGTTTGGAAAAAAATAGAAATTAATAAAATATAAGTTTTCATTTTTTAAAGGTAATCATGCATTTTAAAAATTAAATGTATATAGAAAAAATATTTCCAGTATATATGAAAAATGTATAACTTGTATGGAAAAAAGTAGACATCAGAATATATAGAAAGTGTTAATCATGTATTTAAACAATGTTAAACGTGTATATAAAAAATATTCCTGATGTATATAAAAGATGTACAATGTGTATGAAAACATTTACTTAAAACATATATGTCTTCAAAAATGTTAATCATATATGTAAACATTTATATATATTTATGATGTATTAAAAATATACAATCTTTATGAAAAAAGTAGACATAAAAATATGTTTATAAATTATTAATCATGTATTTACAAGATGTTAAATATGCACATGAAAAATATTCCTGGTGAATACAAAAAATATACAACGCATACAGACAAAGTAGAAATCAAAAATACAAGTTGTCAAAAATGTTAATCGTGTTCCCCATAAAAGAAGTTAACCACATATTAAAAAAACTTGCGGGGACATATTTAAAAACATGTAAACATGTATATAAAAAGTTTTCCTAATGCAAGCAAAAATGTACAAAGAAAACCAATAAAAACAGAAAAGAAAACACAACGAACCAGGGGAAAACAAATAAAGAAAAGCAGAAAGAGGAAAAAAAGAGAAAAACAATAAAAACTGTGAAAGAAACAAAGAAAACAGTGAAAAGAGAGAAACCTATAAAAAACCAATAAAGAGATGAAAGGAAACCAAAAAATGAAAAAGAAAAAAAGAAAGAAAACAGGGACAAAACCAGTACATAGGACGACCAAGTGAGCGACTGAGCTACCGAGCAAGCGACCGGCTAATGGGCTGGCCCATCGCCCATATGCACGAACTCATCAAGGGAGACCGATGTTATCTTCTAAGAGCATCTCCAACAGTCGCCTCAAAAGTGCCTCACGCGCTAAAAATCAGCGTTTTTGTGCGCCGGAGGCAAAAACAGCGCTCCAGCAGGCGCTGTAAAGTAGAGCGTGCTTAAAAAACTTTAGCTTACGGGTGTGCGTGCAGACTGCGGGGCTGCAAATTTAGGGCGTCAGACTGTATCCGCGGGCTGCTGCAGGTGGGGCCGCCGAATTCAGGGGCGGAGCTAGGGGGAACGAGCGGGCCCCCCCCCCCCACCAACGGTCGCGTCGTATTGAAAGTACCGCGATCTATGCCAAATAAATTAGGCTACATCAAACAGATTTAGCGCTAATTAGGCCCCCCCTAACAGTGCGCTCAAGTCTTAAAGCCCAGGAGCTTTCCTAGTTGAAGCCCATATGTTCTTGTTGGTCAGCCTACGCTAGGGGAGCTTCCCTAGTTGAAGCCCATATGTACTTGTTGGTCAGCCCACGCTAGGGAAAACTGACGAGGCCACTATCGAGGGCATCCCCTATCGTTAGTTTCGGCGCCGATGCACGAGGCACACGCGCTGGCTCCGCCTGGAAGTTCGATGATGGCATCTGTACAACTGATCCACAACGGTGCCGATGGTAGAATAATCCTGCGGTGAGTCTCCTTTGATTCCTTCGTTGATTTATACTGTAGAATAAAACCGATGAACTGATCCGCATCTGGCTCCAAAAGAGTAGAAACTTTTTTGTTTGAGATGAAATTAGTTACGGGTAGCATTTTTTTGTTTTATTGTTAATAATAGGAACTATAAATTAGGTTTGCGCTGATTTTATCATCTGAGTTTTAAATTTCACCCTTAGAACAACATAGCTGATACACAAACTACCGATCAAGTATTCTAGCACGAGTAAAATTTACAACTCTAGAATTGCCATATAGGATTATCAATTTTGTTCTGTGTCTTCTTCGCCCTTCCTATCGTCAAATCCTGGCTCTGCCCCTGGCCGCATTGGACGCCGTGTTTTTGTGCGTCTGAAAAACGTATTTCGACGCTGTAAAACTTTTTTTAACGCGCCGCGCTACCGTGTTGGAGACGCTCTAAGAGATGTTAGCATTCTCGCTTGGAATCGACTGAAACTCAAAAATATGTATCGTGCAAGTGAGGATATATATGACGCACGGATAAGGAACTGGAGCGTGTGAACTCTGCCGTTGCCGTACGCCTATCGTCTGGACACCACGGAGTCAACACGTCAATGCAACACCGTAATTTTCTATCCTGCCGTGCGCGAGCCAGCCAGTAACCAAGAATTGTGCCAGCAGCCAGTAACTAATAGACATAAATAAGAATTGAAGACCACTAGTCCATTACAGTAGTTTCTATACTTAAAAAAAAGGTAATCAAAAACCCCTCAAAAAAAAAGGCAATCAAACTGCTGCTGCTGCAGCAACGACACGCCAAAACCTTGCACTAAATCCTTAAGCCGACCGAACACTATAAATTGCCGTGAAAACGTTGGTGGCAGCACTGGCACTGCATCCTCAACTCCTTCCTCATCAAAGTTTAATCATCTTGCAGCAAGCACGTACAACTCATTACACACTCTGTTCTCTACACTCAACTCGGCTCATCATGCTCAACCTGTACCCGAGGCTCTCGGCGAGCTCCCGCTACAGCGACGCTGACGCCGACGCCGACGGAAACGACGACGTCGCCAGGTACCGCGCCTTCTACGGCATCGCCGTCGCCTGCGTGGCCATCCTCCTCTTCTGCGTGCTCGGCGTCACCGTCGGCGCCTGGATGGCCGGCGCCTTCGCGGCCGCGGTCGCGTCGCTGCTGGTCGTCCTTGGCTGCTTCGCGCCCAGGACATCATGGGTTCGCCGCCGGACGGGGAGGCCGGTGAGTCCCGTGCTTGCTCTCACGGCTAGGTCAGGCGGGCGGCCGCGAGCACCCGGCCGGTGCGCGCGCGCGCACGTGGTGGACGCGCCGCCGGCGTTCGCGTACGTGTGCCCGCTGGAGGCAGGCGACAGCGACGGCGAGCTGGCGGCCCGAAGCTACGTCATGTGTCCGGTCTGCCTGGAGGACACCCACGGCGGCGAGATGGTGCGACAGCTGCCGGCGTGCAGGCACCTGTTCCACGTGGAGTGCATAGACATGTGGCTGGACTCGCACAGGACGTGCCCAATGTGCCGGTGTGTGATCTCGCCGCCGCCGCCGACGGTGACAACGAAAGCCTCGGAGCCGGAAGAGGCGCAGCAGTCGTCGGATGAGGCGTTGCCACCGGTGTAGTTCCTTTTCCGCGCTAAAACTTGCGCGCAGCAGCGGGGTGTATGTACGACCGTCGTTTACCTTGGCTTGTCGATGTCTTTTCTACGATTCCGGCGAACAGAGTATTAGTATTGCTACTATACGGCGAACGTGTACCACGTGGTTATGCGTACTATTAGAACGTCGGTGCGTTGCCGTGGGCTTTTATCCCCGATTGCACCTATATATAAATATAATGCATATATGTCTCTTGCTCCCCAATTTTATCTACCACGCTCAATCTCTCGCACCCCCTCACTCTTTCTCACCCCCTCTCCCTCTCTCTTACTCGCCACTCTCCCTCTCCCTCTTCCATGACTCAAAATATAATATTGACACAACTTAATTTTGCTTAGTGTTAACATTCCGCAGCTACATTTTATTATATATCCTAGAAGCTTAAACATTAAAGGGAAATCTTAACCTTTAAACGAGATAAGACAGCTTTCCAAACTTCATATTGGCTTATTTACTCCATCACTTCAGAGCACACACATTAATGGTTATACTCTGTACAACAAAAAGATTACTTCACGTGATAAACTTTTTAATCCACTGCTAGACATTAGTTGTGATACTTATTATTGCCTATATTATAATGTTCAGCAAACAAATCAAATTGACACTAAGATTAATACGTGAGGATGTATGTAACACCTCACATCCATAAATATCCCTAGCTGTTTGGTTCGTGCCTGACATCTCCCCTACTTTGACCCACACAAAATACTTGCAGGTTGGTGCCGCCACTCAGCGTCTAAGCTCGCTTTCATCCCCTCTACTTTGTTCATGTGAGCTCCCAAAATCAAATCAAAATTGGGTTGGTTACCCATCCATTCACTAGTCTGTTTTCTGTCAAGCAACCACGGATGCCACGTTGGAAATATATTATAAGAACATGTAAGCATCAGATCTCTGGCATAGACCCTACAATTCAAAATTTTAGTATGAAAATACATCATATGTTGTTAGAAAGCTTTCAAAATAAAAAAAAAATCTACAATTGATCATAAAAAGGAATGTTTGTCTCGTTTTAATATTGCACCAACACTCCAATGCACAACCATGTATGCATATGATTAAAGCACATGAGAGAAGTATCTCTCTGGCCTGAAAATATAAACTTATGCAGAACATTCCATGGTAGACGACTGATAAAAAAGAACAAAACATACCAATCGACTCTGACCTGATGAGAAGGAACAAACAAACAACCATTTTTAAATCTTCTATATCTAAATAGCTAGCCCCTACTAAGATATTTCTCTCAACATGCAAGCATGCCACCTCATCATTCAACATGCATAAGAAAAGGCCCACCTTATCATGCAACTATGCATATTAAAAATCCACTACAACATGCATGCATGTAAAATTCCATTTTATTATGCTATTTACATTTAATTCTTATATACTTTTAGAAACTATTGTTTCATGAATTCATGTTCCATATAATCAAAATCTCATTGAAATATTGCAAACATTCCCGCAACAACGTGTGGGGCATCATCTAGTTGTAAAAGTAACACTCCCCTTCCATGTGGCTAGTTAAAATTGAACCCATGTGACTTGCTTTTTAACCCCGGACCGTAGAACAATAGTTCTACGGTATTTTATATTAAAATAAAAATACAAATATACAAGGAGACCCCCCAAGGAGTCTAAATAACCAGAAAAGAGACTACCCTATGCCTGTCTGAGGTATAAAGGTCATATCCTTATAGATTATTGTCTAACCACTGTACAAACCTGTTGACATTGTTATTCTTGATCTTATGTTTAAGAAGGAGCATGTCTTGTTTCAGAAAGTATCTCCAAGCTTGTACTGAGGGTTGCTGGGCTCTGAAAACTTTTCCATTTCTCTAAAGCCATATATTCCAGTTTCCTAGGATGATGATTTCTGCGGCAAAATGTTTGGGTATGTGTCTCATAGCCAATGTAGTGTCTTCATATACAGATGTGCCTCTTTGTCTTTTGGGTATCAAGGAGTTCCAACATTCCCGTGCAAAATTACAATCCCAAAGCATATGCATAGTTATTTCCTCAGCCTTTTGGTTGCAGTTAGGACAGTGTGGATCATCTAAGTACATCCCTTTTCTCAGAAGAAGTGCCTTGGTATTAATTCGGCAATGAGCTACCAGCCAGTAGAAGATTTTTTGTTTTAGTCTGCTAGAGCTACTCCATATGATACTGAATATGGGGTGCTCTTCTTTGGTGCTCAAGCATGTGCTGATAGATGTGAATAACTGAGGGTTTGCCTGTTTGCTCTTTTACTGTCCATTTATCTGTCCTGTCTGGGTGTATCTGAGTGTTGAATGCCTCAAGTTATTGGAATTCTCCATATGCTTCTACTGACATGGGCAAATGAAAGTTGTTAGACCAATCTTTTTCATCAAAGAAGTTTTGCACTATTTGAATTTCATCAATTACAAAAGAATGGAGTTCAGGGAGTGTTTGCTGTAATGGTTGCTCATGCCAACTGTCTTTCCGGAATAGAATTGTTTCCCCTGATCCAACTGTACAAATGCTCATGGATTTGAACTTGTCCAATAAAGTAATATGTTCCTTCCACCAAAAGGAACCCTCTAACTTTCCCATTGGTGCCTGTGTGCTTTTCCCAAATTAAGTTAACCTAGGGGATGTCTTCTTTGTTGAGAAATTTATAGAGGTTTCTCATGAGCACAGCTTTATTATGGAGTGCAATGTCAAGGATACCAAGTCCTCCATTCTTCTTTGGTTGACCCACTTTAGTCCAAGCAACAAGTGGTGTCCCCTTGTCTTCCATTCCAAATTTTCTCCAAAGAAAATTCCTCAAATATTTGTTTATTTGTTCAATGACTCCCATGGGTAGAGCCAGAGTGCACATGAAGAAGATTGGAAGTGCAGCAAAAACAGAATTGATCAAAATTAATCTTCCATCTTAAGAAAGCATGGTGGAACAACCAGTTAATCTCCTTTCTATTCTCTGCATCTTTGGGCTGAAATCTTCAATCTTTGGCTTGGATGTGCCTAGTGGGAGGCCTAAATATGACTTGTGGTCCACCCTCTTAGACCAACCTATAACAAACACATAAGAATTGCCTTTTCAATAGTAAGCATTTCTAGGGTAAAGCATGCCATTAATTTATTGAATGGATTTTTATCAGCAAGGTGCTATGTCACATGCTTCCCATCTGTCGACCAACCCGCCTTTTTCATTGACACCAGTCATGTTCAAACATAACGCATGAAGCAAAAGCAACGGGCGATACCTTGGAAACAAACATGTGACGGCTCACCGCCAGTCCACGACTCAGCGCCCTTGTCCATTTGCGGCGGCATCGAGCTCCTTCTAGCGAGCAATGAGGTGGAGGCTGTGGCATAGTGCAGCTGGTGGAGCCAGGACGTATAACTTTCTATCAATTAGATATTGGAAGGCGGAAAACAAAAAATGCTCATAATATGTTAATGCACGAATTCCAATATGTGAAATTTAGTTTGATTCAACTCTTGTTCCTTTGCTTCTCATCTGTTGGCCACTACCAACCACTCAACCAATAGGCAATGCAAATACCAAAATTGGTACTGAATTCGCTCAGTCAATTAGCTTATCCTCAATTAGGAACCAAATTGCAAATTTATGTAGATAGCGACATACTTATTGAGAAGACATCTTGATCTCCAATAACTAAATAAATTGCAATACTGCGAACAGCTAGTCATACACTAAGCTTGTTATCATGGAGGAAACCAAATTTTAGAAAAATACAAACCCCATGACTCACTTAGATTAATCCTCCCATATGCGCCCTCTTGAATTTTCATCGAACACCTTGTAGGCATAGAGGAATAAAATATGCACAAATAAAGAGAACATCATGTTTTGTCTACACATATGAAACCAATTCCATATCCGTATCAGACAATAAGACTTTTAGCAAACAACTTGTACTACCATAATTCATTTCCAGATTGTAATTACATAATACGTCATTACTTTACCGGGCATTACTTTGTTCCATTCTGAAATAATAATCATCCAAAAGAAGCAACGGTCACCATGGCATTAGCTTCATATACGTCCAAACATGCAAGGGTTGTCTTATTCCATCCTACTTTTTAATACAGAACCCTGAACCTGAAACATGTAGTAAGAAGATAGTTTAGGCTTCATGACATAGAAAAGCACGGCTCAGATTTCATACTGTTGATACTACAATCTTGCATGAATTGAATTAAACTGAGGTGGTACATAGAAGATGAACCGACCTGATACATTCATGGCAAATGATGTGTCACCGCTGGAGCACCACGACCATGCCACACCGATAACCATCAGCCATGGTGGATGCACTACTAAACATGGAACTGCTGGAAATATGCCCTAAAGGCAATAATAAACTGGTTATTATCATATTTCCTTGTTCATGATAAACGTCTATTATCCATGCTAGAATTGTATTGATCGGAAACTCAGATACATGTGTGGATACATAGACAACACCGTGTCCCTAGTGAGCCTCTACTAGACTAGCTCGTTGATCAAAAGATGGTTAAGGTTTCCTAACCATAGACATGTGTTGTCACTTGATAACGGGTTCACATCATTAGGAGAATGATGTGATGGACAAGACCCAACCGTTAGCATAGCATATGATCATTCAGTTTATTGCTACTGCTTTCTTAATGTCAAATACATGTTTCTTCGACCATGAGATCATGCAACTCCGGACTCCAGAGGAATGCCTTGTGTGCCATCAAACATTACAACATAACTGAGTGATCACAAAGGTGCTCTATAGGTATCTCCAAAGGTGTCTGTTGAGTTGGCATGGATTGAGACTGGGATTTGTCACTCCGTATGATGGAGAGGTATCTTTGGGCCCTCTCGGTAATACAACATCACAAGAAGCTTGCAAGCAAAGTGACTAAGTAGTTAGTTACGGGATGATGGATTATAGAACGAGTAAATAGACTTGCTGGTAACGAGATTGAACTAGGTA